GCTCTCACATGCATAAGAGTCAATTGAAAATTTAAATTAAAAAAAAAAAAAAACCAGGGGCTGGCTCTTAGCCCAATAGTTAACAAGATGTACATGCAGATCACTCATCCCAAGATGACGCACCCACATACTCTATGGTAATACATCCCTTAGAGCAACAGCTTACGGGACACCAGAGACCAACATTCAAACTGAGGAAATGCAGGACAAACAAGAGTGCATAAATATGAGGGGCACAGGGGGAGGGTTACTGGGTAGAGAGGGGAGGAGACTGGGTTAGGGTTGGACATGGTAAATGGGGAGTGAAACTAAATGTACAAGTAATGTTGAATGTAAAACAAGCTCTTAAAATTAAAAAAATAAAATAAAATAAAAAGGCACAGTATCTCTATAAGGATGTCTGGTGGCATAGCGGGTATGGTGTTTGCCGGCTAACCACAAGGTCGGTGGTTCAAACTCACCAGCTGCTCTGTGAGAGGAAGATGAGGCAATCTATTTCCATAAAGATTTACAGCCTTGGAAACCAAATGAGGGTTGCTGTGAGTTGGAAATGGCTTGAAGACAGTGGGTTTGGTATCAGTATGATGATATTTTTTAACTTTCACGTTTACTTCTGGCTCTGAAGGATTTTTGTAGTTTTATAATTGCTGGTTAGCTAACCTTCCCCTAAATTCACCCCTAGCCCTGTCCAACCAACTGGCAAATGTTTGTGGTTCACAAATCAGGAAGTAGATATTTTAGTGGAAACTTATCTCTACTAGCAGGCAAACAACTCAGATGTGTTTTACATACAGTGAGTCAGTCACCCAGCAACTGGGTACAAAGGATAGTAGATAGACTCTGTGGCTCTACTTTCAAAGTATATCCATAACTCCCTACTTTGCATCACTTCAACTAATATTATACTGTTCCAAGCCACCATTAACTGATACCAGGCTTATTACAATAGTGTCCTAGGTGATCTCCTTTCCCACCCTTGTCCCATAGTATTTTCTATCAATAGCAGCCAGAGGGCCTGTTAAAAATACAAATCTGATCATGACCCTCCTCTGCTCAGAATATGTAAATGGTTTCCCAAGTGTATTAGTTGGCATCCATAAGGAAAATAAAAACTACTCTAGATTTTTCCAACCTACCCACCCAGTGCGAGCAATTCTAACTCCTTGAAACCCTATAGGACAGAGTACAACTGTCCCATAGGGTTTGCAAGGCTGTAAATTTTTACTGGATCAGACAGCCACATCTTTCTCCCTAGGAGCAGCTAGTAGGTTCAAACCACCAGCCTTTCTGCTAGCAGCTGGGCTCTTAATCATTGTACCATCAGGGCTCCTAGATACTTCCAACAGAGAGAATATATTATAGGGAATTGGTTATAAAGATTACTAACTATAGGAAGCCACTACCACCCTTAGTTTAGAGCACAAAAGGAAAAATGGTGCTACCCAGACCTATAATCAGAGGCACTGAAGTGGCTACTGTTGGAGCAGAGTAGGCTGAGCCAGCATTCTCGGCTGCTACCACCTCTGCAGCTGCCATGTGGAAAAGGCTTCCAGGAGTCTGATTTTAAAGAGTAAGGCTTCCTCTTTCCCTTTTTTCAATCTCCTTCTAGTACGTCCCATTGGCAGAATCCAACAGGAAGCCTATTGGCTTCTCCATACTATACACACACACACACACACACACACACATATGCACCACTCTACCCCACCCCAGCTACATCACATACACACCTCACACCACATACACCTCATACATACACACACATACACCTCACTCACACACAATACAACACACTCTACACCGCATCCACTCCTACCTTTCTGACCTTACTCCCTGCTATTTTTCTGTTTACTCAGTTCCACTCACACTGGCTTCTTTGCTGCTTGCTCTTCAAACATGACAGGCTCTCTGTCCTATAAGTATACCATTTGCTGTTTTCTCTGCCTGGAATAATCTTACCCCAGATACTTTCACAACTCCCTCCCTCATTTCCTTTGGGTCTTTACTTAGCTGACACCTTCTCAATGATGCTTTCCCTATTAACTTGATTTAAAATTGCAATCCCTCCCAAAGCCCTACACCTCTTATTGGTTCTTTTTTTCTCTTTCAAAGCATTTATCACTTTCTAACGCACATTATGTTATATATAGTTTTATATATATAGTTTTATTTTTACAGAAATGTGTGTGTGTGTGTGTGTATATATATATATATATATATATATATATATATATTTTATATATATACATAAATTATATATGTAATTTCATTGTGTATATTTCCCCAGTAAAATGTAAACTCAACAGGGACAGGATTTTTGTCTACTGATATACCTCCAGCACTCAATAAATATGTTTTGAATGAAGAAATGAATGTAAACATTAGTAAAAGTATTTTATTATGTGATGTAAGCATGGGTTAAGGAAAAGCAGCCAACAATGCTCCTGCCTTTTTCTGGGAAGCCTCCTTAACCCCTCTAAGGCAAAGTGAAGTGCCCTTTCTATGTACTTCTCACCACCCATCTATCTGTTTGTCATACTGTGGTAGCTTGCATATTGCTATGATGCTAGAAACCATGCCAATGGTATTTCAAGTATCAGTAGGATCACCCATTGTGGACATGTTTCAGCTGAGCCTCCAGGCTAAATTAGACTTGAAAGAAATGCCTGGTGACCCATTTCCAAAAATTTTATTATTGTTGCTGTGTGCCATCAAATTACCACAATAACACTGTCTGATTCTTTTGCTTTGGACACATCATCAGAAGAGATCAATCACTGGTGAAAGATATCATGTTTGGTGAAGCAGAGGGCCAATGAGGGTGAAGAAGACTCTCAGTGAGATGGATTGGCACAATGACTGCAACAATGGACTAGAACATGCTGGTGATTGTGAGGATGACACAGGACCAGGCAGCACTTCGTTCTGTTGTAGGTGAGGTTGCCATGAGTGGGAGTTGACAGCAGCCTTCTATCACTATCATCTATCTATCATCTTTCTCTTTCTTTCTTTCTGTCTCTATGTGCTTTAAATGCTCCATGTAATTCCCCTATCCCAGCACTGTTGACATTGTCTTGTAATTATCTGTTTATATACCTGTCTCCTCTACTAAAACTGTAAGTTCCTTGACATACCAAAGTGATGGTACCCATCTGGGTAACACTACTTCAAGCACATAGCGAAAGTGCCCTGCATGCAGTGGATAGGACAATTCTTCTTGCCAAGTGTTCCAGTCAGAAAATAAAAGAGTACACTTAAAAGCCTCTCAACATCGCTTCTTCCTCCGGTGTCCTGGAAAGCAGAAGAGACAATAGCTGATGGGCTGTGATAAGACACACAAGCAGAAGGAGTTAATTAGAGAAGCACAAAAAAACAGTGAGCAGTAGTAAGCCCTGGCTAAGAGAGGACAGAAAAATTATCATGGCTTTGAAAAATATTTTAACTTTTTTATTAGAATTATTTATGTTGCTTGAAAATCCTTCCATATGTTGAATCATGTTAACAGCTGAATATTAGAGAATAACAAACAAATCAAATTAAAATCAAAATAATTATGACAGAAAAGCAACCCATCTCAACAGATACAGATTTTACAGTGTTATTCTCAAGGGGCATGGGGAGTGTGTATTAGAGACATAAAGGTTCATTAACAAAGGTATTTTTCTAATTTGAAAAATCTGATTACCAACTTTAAGAGGAAAAAAGTATCCTTACTATGCTTATTTACAGTTGAAATACAATTTCTAAAAATTGGTAAGTTTTTCTTTTAGATGTTTCTAGTAGTTACTTATACCCATAGTCCTTTACAAAAAGATCATGGATAGATCTTAGACTTATCTATTTGGTAATAATTCAGGGGCTGGAAGAAGTCATATCACACACACACATACTTGAGCACCAAATTTATCACAAATAGCTTTGACTTGGCTTATGACCTCAGTAGTTAGAGTCAAGCAGAAATGTCTTATCTCATCTTGTCCTAAAGAAGTAGCATTTCTTGCCTGCATGAATATCACCTAAGCACATTAACCAGCAGAGACTCGAGATTTTGAAAAGAAAGGCCTCCTCAGCTTGTCTATCTTCAGCATAAAGCACTTAAGTCCTGTTTTTGTACTGCGGCCTGCCAGTGCCTTCAGCATCGGGTATAGCTTTCCTCTTCAGTTTAATTAAAAATTCAATTCAACCAATAATGCTTTGAAATGCCTTCTAAGCAACAGGAATTCAGATAATCAGAAAACTACCTTCTTTTCCTCTCTTGCTGTATAATTTTTCAAAGTAACTCCCAACCAGAAAATGACTTCAACTTGCTGCCTGAACATTTATTTGCTCACTAGCACAGGAGAAAACTGAGCTAAGTCAAGTGAGATACATGCACAGGTCCCTGGAAGGATAATTTTAGAACCAGTTGCAAAGCAGACTCCAATTCAAAAATGCCCCTTCCACTTACACGCACATGGAGATATTACCAGCCTCACAAAATGTCATCAACCAATTGAGTTTTGGACAGTGGTGCAAGTGACCACAATCTCTGTGGCCTTCTTGCTGAGTGAGGCAGAAGGAGGGGGCAGTTTATTAGAAATGACTTTCAGGAAGATGTGGTAACAGTAGACATACAGAAGCCACCGGCTACTGATTGCAAATCTGGCAAGGCTGCAGGCCATTCTCATTGCAGGCAGGGCACCGCAGGGCCCGGTAGGACTCCTTAAATCTGTTGGCCAGCATTGAGAACTTGCTGCCGTGGCACAGAGAGCAGGTGGCACTGCCCGACCCTCGGCAGTGAAAACAGTTGTCCTCGGGAAGCTCCCCCTCCTGCAAGAAACAGGCCAGGGTTTAGTTACAGTAGTAGTTGACATTCACTGCTTGCATGTAGGGCAAAATACCAGTGGGCTGTGGCAAAGGTTGGGCAAAATTAGAGAAAAATTCTTCCCATAAATGCCAAGCAGGAACTGACCACAGCAATTTCAGTCGAGATTTCCCTGACCTCTAAGACAGCGTCCCCTGCCACCACTGCTTGCATTCTATTGTTTTATGTTCTTCAGAGCCTTTGTCATCATCTGACATGTTATTCCTGTAAGCTCCTATTATGGATTGAATAATATCCCCCCAAAATAAGTGTTGGAATCCTAACCCTTATACCTGTGAATGTAATCTGATCTAATGTAACATAATCACTTTCCATAATGCAATCTATGTAATGGGATCAATCAGTTGAGGTCATATCAGTTTGGGATGGATCCTAAACTAATCGCTTCTGAGCAGCAGCAGAGATACAGAGACAAGCATGCACAAATGCAGAAAGACCAATGCCATGTGAGGACTCTCTACAAACCAAGGAAGCAAGGAATGTTTGGGGCTTCCAACAAAGAAGGAATTGACATATCCAAAACTCTTACTTGGACTTTTAACCTGAAAAACTGTGAGAAAATAAATTTCTGTTCTTCAAAGTAACCTATTTGTGGTATTTCTGCTACAACAGCATTAGGAAACTAACAGAACTCCAGAAGGACAAGGACATTGTTTTCCTCATTGCCCAATACTAGTAATGAGCACTTGTAACATGCCTAATAGGCACCAGGTGCTGTTCTGGGTGCTTTCTGTACATCAAGTCATCTAATCCTCACAACCCAATGAAATAGCATAAGGATTATCATTTCTTAAATTCCAGATGTTAAAAAATTTGCCAAAGGTCACACAGCGTGGGAGAAGGGGAGGCAAGTTTAGATTCCAGGGAGTTCAGGACCAGAGTTTATGCAGCTAATTAATGACCCTTCATGATCCCTCATTGTGGTCACCCAGCAGGAGGTACTCAAGAAAGATTGTTTCTATGGCCAAAAGAAAAGCTGAATGAATGAATCGAACTTAAAATCCTTTCAAGATTAGCTCTAAATTCTCACAGTACATTTTCTTTATTCTGTTTGAACACTGGGGCTGTTGTTAAGTGCCAGTGGGTCAATTATGATCATAGCAATCCCATCTGACAAAGTAGAATTGTCCGTAGGGTTTTCTAGGCGGTGATTTTTATAGGAGCAGATTGCCAGGTCTTTGTCCCGTGAAGTCACTGGATGGCTTTGAACCACTAACCTTTTGGTTAGTTTACCCATTGTGCCACCAGGGCTCCTTTGAAAACTGTGGTAAAGCTCAGTAATTTAGGGCTTTGCACTCTGGACTCAGTACCCTGGGACAGAGGCCTGCCCCTGGCATCAGCTGTGCTCTTTGGACAATCCCTTAACCTTCCCAAATGTCAATTTCCTGCCCTGTGAAATCAGGGTGATAATGCCTGCTTCTCTGAGTGGTTGAAATATTAAGTGAAAGAATATACGTAAATACCATAATATACTTAGCTGGTGTATGATAGGCTCTCCCTAAACCTCAGAAACCCAAGGAGGGGTTGCTATGAGTCGGATCTGACTCTGTGGCAAACACAACAACAACAACGGCTTAGCAGGAGGTGCTTCTGGACCAGAGACCCCTCCCATGGCCACCTGCACTGCCATCATCATGGTGAGTTTCATACTCTAAAAGTTAGTTTACTTCTAAGCCTTGACAGTAAGTCTTCAGCCCTCTGCTTTCACTCTCCAGAAAATGCCCCTTGGCTGTTGTCTTGCTCTACTCCTAAAACATCTCAAGGGAATTTGTAATATTTGAACTGCTGATAGACTGTGAACCTTCCAAGAAATCAGGGGCAAGGCTAGATTAAGACCAGATTAATCCAGCATCAAGACTGTCCATTTCACCTTCTAAGCATCTCTCAAATCCATTCCGTTTACTCTATGCCCACAATCAAAATCCTAGTCTGGGTATTCACCAGCTGGCATGGATTCTGCATGGATCCCTGAGTCTGATCTTACTGGATGTTCTTCCCACTTATGCCAATCTCATTAATTGGTCACAGTAGCACCTGACACATAGAAGGCACTCAAGCAACATTTGTTGAATAAGCACATGAAAGAACTCACTCCTGCATGAGTTAATGAATGCTTGCCCTCTAGATAAAACCTCAGGATAAAATCCAAAGTCCTTAGCTGAGTTAAATCTTTCGTCACTTCCTTCATCAAGATCTTGCCCCTAGGCCTCTCTGCACCTGGTCTTCAGTGACTTTTGCCTACTCCCAACCCAGCCAGTTTCTACTTTTTGTCAGATGGGAGCTCTGGTGGAGTAATGCCTAAGGCATCTGACTGCTAACCAGAAGGCTGGCAGTTCCAATCCACCAGCCACTCCTTGGAAGGAAGGTTGGGGGATCTAATTCCCTAGTGATACGGCCTCAGAAACCCAAGGAGGGGTCGCTATGAGTAGGATCTTACTGGGTGACAAACACAGAAACAACAGCTTAGCAGGAGGTGCTTCTGGACCAGGGACCCCTCCCATGGCCACCTGCACTGCCATCATCATGGTGAATTTCATACTCTAATAGAAGCTCTTGCTGATGAGACAGGATACTTTCTGGGCCAGTGTCTGTTTACCGTCTATTCCCCATCATCGAGCTCAGGGCCTGGCACAATATTTCTTATTCACATATTAGTTGGATGAATAAACAAACAAAACAATGATGTGTAGAGAGCCCTTCCTATTCTTAAATTCTAGGAACTGAGAAGACAGCTGAAGTTCCCTGGATAACTCCTTTAGCTAACACAGCTTTCTTGCACAACCTAATATCTGAAAAGAGAGGCATATGTTCTGAAAATAATTCCATCATGCTGCAAAGTGCCAAAGAAGTGTTGTACTTTATTTATTCTAGGTTTAGGGAACAGAGGTGATTTCCCAACTGGCAAGAACTCAAATTATGTCTATGCAAACTTTTGTTAATTTTTCATTGATCACTAACATATTTTAATGTTTTCTTCCCTTACAGTATTCAAAAGAAATATATTTGCTAAAATACCCTTAAAGCAAATTGCCACAGTCCATTTTTCTGCTAAATCTATTGTTTTATGTTTTCACTTGATCCCAGTGAAATTTTAATAATATGTCAATGTTGCCAAAGAAAGTACAGTAAAATCAGACTACAATGGTATTTACAAACACACACACACAAAAAAAACTCACTGCCATTGAATCAATTCAACTCATAGCAACCCCTCTTTGGGTTTCTGAGGCGGTATCTCTACTGAAGTAGATTGCCCAGTCTTCCTTCTGAGGAATGGCTGGTGAATTTGAACTGCCAGCCTTCTGGTTAGCAGTCAAATGCCTTAGGCACTATGCCACAGAGCTCCCCTATCTACACATGCGATCCCAAGTTTCAATTGCATAAAATGAGGTATCGAGAGGTTGATGAAAAGATCTGATTAGGCTGCTGTAGAGAATGAGACCAAATCATCAATCAAATTATATCTAATTTACGTGCCACAGACTATATTTTAGGGGTTTCACTGGAGTTTCCTTCCTTGTCTTATTATTACCATTTCTCCACCCACTCCCCCTCAACATGATGTTTTAAATCATTCAATTAATTAAACAATTATTTATTAAGCCCTTAGTCTATACGATAAGAAGCTCTGGTGTTGCAGTGATTAAGCACTCGACTGCTAATGAAAAGTTGCTGGTTTGAACACACCAGTTGCTCTGTGGGAGAAAGTGTGGCAATCAGCTTCTGTAAAGATTTATACACCTGGAAACCCTACGCAACAATTCTACTCTGTCACATAGCATTGCTGTAAGTAGGAATTGATGACAACAGGTAAGTCTATACAATATAGGCATGACATAGGCCTCATGTCTTCCATGCTCAGCATTTTCTTCTTTAAAAATTTCTTCTCATTTAGTTGTAGCACTTAGCTTAGGTTCTAGAATCCAAAAGACCCACTCAATCCACCTACTAGCTCAATGGCCAGGGAGCAGAGCCTCTAAAGATAGTAGCCAGCACCAATGCAAAGACTACATAGCAGAGTGGTTATGATCATAGGACTGGTAGTTAGATAGAACTGGGTTTGAGTACTAGCTCCGGTAACATCTGGTAAGTTATTTAACCTCTCTGAGCCTCAGTTTCCTGTACTCAGAATGGGACTATTAACCGCATCTACCTCACAGGGTCCTTTCGAGGATTAAATGTACTACTGCATGCAAAGCACTGGGCATGGTATCTGGCTATCAATACTATTATTGTCTTATTGTTACCATTATGTCAAAAAGGAGATCATATAAAACATGAAGAGGCTCAGATAAAATCCACTGAGCAGAGAGCCAGGTTTTTTTCTCCGTCCATGTTTCATTGTGGCTGCATTCAATTATTCTCTCCTTTCTTTTGTAGTTAATATAGAGCTTCAAGTATGACCTGGCTTTAAGCCGTGCCCTACTCTTTCATCAAGGTTCCTACTGCTTCCCTGTTCCTCATAACAGAACAAAGAGCCTCTTGGTCAGAAGGGGCTCCTTGATGTTCTCTGACCCTCTCTTTTAGAATAAAACTTGTCTGGGCATTTACTGCATGAGGGATTGGGCAAACAAATAGCAATTTAAAATAGAGTTCAAAGGACAGGTAAGTGAAGTAAAACCTTTCACAGCAACCTTCTGTCCTAGTTTACAGCATTATAGCAAAAAAAAAAAAAACAGATCCCTCCAAATTGAATGTAAAGGTAATCATCATGTCAGGTCTGCTGCTGCTTTTTCATTCAGGCCTACAGTGTAACCTGCTTTTTATTATGTCTGATCCTCATCTGAAAATGTATGCTCATAGAAGTTTCAATATAGCATGAGAAACGATAGGATTAAATAATTTTAAAGTGGGAAGGTAATGTTTGGGATCAAAATGTTTGGTCCTCTTCCTGCTGTCTTGCTAGGTTCTTAAGAGTGCTTTGTAGAACACACACAAAAAAAAGACAAAGGCAGAAGGATCCTTACTACATGGCTCTTTGTAGTATTTTCCCAATATTCCAATATTATTTCCAAAAACATTTGACCAATACTTGTGAGCACCAATTATATGTCCATTATATTGAAACTATAAAGTTACTCCAACATAACCATGACATCTGCACTCATAGAAACGGAATCCTAGTAGAGGTGAGGTGGATACAGCCAAAAAATCACACGAATAAATGTAAGACTGCAACTCTAAGGAGGGGTGTGCGGTGCTCTGATGGAACTCTCTCTGAGAAGTGATGCCTCCATTGAAATTTGAGGGGCTGTCAGCAAGGAGTAGGAGAATTTGAGTAGATTTCTGGGCAAAGAGATTTTCTTTTGGCAAGAAACAGCAAGAAATGTATGAAGGACAGGTGGATGGGCAGTGTGCCTAGAGAAGATGTGTAAGAGACGAGGCTAGAAGGGTCAGAGGTGGCCAGAGCCTTTCTAGACCAAGTAAGGTGCTTTGAATTTATCCCAAGCAAAGGGGAGCCATTAAAGCTTGGTGGTATGGGGTAGGGGAATTGTAAAAGATTAGATTTGCATTTCAAGATCATCAAGAATAAGATCAGATTGGAAAGAGACATGAGTGGATGTGAACAGATCTTCCAAAGCTTTTTGCTGGGATTCAGGTTGCTGGTGTTCTAGTAAGGGGTAAGAGGAAGGGGAGGGAGGAGGACTAGGAGAGAAAAACAAGTAGATTCTAAAGAAGTTGGCAAGAAACAGGTGGATTTATGAAATGAAAAAGACCAAAACCAAACCTACTGCTATCGAGTTGAGTCCAACTCATAATGACACCCCCCACACACTGGGTTTCTAATGCTGTAAATCTTCCTAATGTCTCATCTTCCTCCCATGGAACAGCTGGTGGGTTTGAACCTCCTGAATTTCTGGTCAGCAACCAAATGCCTTACCCACTATGTCACCAGACCTCCTTATGAAATGAGAAAGATGAGATAATAGGAAGTCTTTGGCACTTCTGGCTCAAGGCTGTCACTCAAAACTAAACCATGACCTACCAGGGTGGGGCATCTGTCAAGAGGCAGGAAGCGCTTGGCTAACTTTGCCATGCCAACCCATGGGAAATGAAAGTGAGTCCCACAGAAACATTTCAGTCCCAAGAGATAGAATTTAAAGAAAAAGAAAATTCATTTCTGCAGCAACTGAAGCTTTTATTCTCTTAGCTTAAATTAGTCAAAATTGCTTCCTGTGAACTAACTCCCACACTGTGAACTAGTAAGTATCAGCACTCTTCCTTCTTGATAGAGTGGGCCATCTGAGCAATAGTTTCCAAGGTAAGGAATGCACACCTCTGAGAGGTGTAGGGGCAAAACATGAAACATGAGAACTTGTATTTACATTTATTTTCATCTAAAAATAAGCAAGCAATTAAATTTTAATAATATTTTACAAATAAGTTATTATACTAATGTTTAATACACTAGTTGACACTGGTACCCTCACTAGGTCAGGAGGTGGTCACTAGACAAGTGCAGGACCTAAGGAGTCCTGGAATAAACATGGATGTTTCATGTTTATAGATGTTCAGTAATAATTCAATACATTTGATGGTGGCACACCAACTCACTAGCTCACTCTCAGCATATTGCAGCATATTGCATTTTACTTGTGCCTGGCCAGGCGAGGTTACAAATTGTACCATTTGGTTTTAACCAAGCTAACCCCTACAAAATGGACGTGTGGTTTTACAAGATTTCTTCAAGGAAAGTGGGGATTGAGGTCAACACCGATAACAGAAACACAAGCAAACCCATAAAGAAAGGCCCGAACTGATTTTTTCACTTCCAGACACTCTGCTCATAAGTCACCTTGCAAAATGAAAACAATAAATATTAGATCTCAAAAGAAGTCAGTCAAAAAAAAAAGTTTGCCTGAGATAAACTTTAAATCTTAAACCAAAAATAGCCCCTGAAGTCCTCTTAAAACTAAACAATAAAAAAAAAAAAAAACTCAGTGCCTCAAGTCGATTCCAACTCATAGCGACCCCCTTTGGGTTTCTGAGGTGATAAATTTTTACGGAAGTAAATTCCCCAGTCTTCCTTCCGCAGAGTGGCTGATGGGTTTGAACCACCAATCTTCTGATTAGCAGTTAAATGCCTCAGGCACTATGCCACCAGAGCTCCTTAAAATAGTCTCACTCAATTGGTAAAGAATATCTGCCTTAAGCATTGTGCTCTTTTAAGATCTGTCTATATGGGATCAAATTGACAACAGCAACTCAGTAGATAGGAAACTTAGAGGGGTTATGCATTTATGTTAATGAGGGAGGAACAACCCAGAAAAGAATGGTTGGACAATTCAGAGTATGTACTCAGTGTCACTGAGTTGTACATGCAGACATTATTGAATTGTTTTATGTTCTGCTATATGTATTTTCAACAACAGCAAAAATAAAATGAATTACAAAAAGTTAAAATTTTGAGCATTTGAAATATGAAATATCTATTGTTATAGTACCACTAATACATTTTAAATGTTCTCATCATCTCTAACATCTAGACATCCTAAATATTCATATTCAATTTTTTTTACTTAAACCAAAACAATCTGGAAACCATTGCTGCCAGGCCAGCCAGGGCAGGGCAGTGAGGCTGCTCGGACACACCTGTGCATACTGGCTATTGGGGAACGTGTTTTCTGTCTCTGGCAAAGGCCCATCATTCTGGTTGCTTTCTCTATAGTTTTCTTCTTTGTTCATAAGAAACTCTTCCTCAGCTTCCTCCTCTTTTTGGAGAATTTTCCTCATGAAATCTTTCTTGTCCATTGGCATTCGAATGATCTTCAGGTTATTTGTGTAGATGATTATCTTTCCAAAATCTATGATAGGTGGAGGCTAGAGAAATGAAAAATGAGAATGAAACTTGTACTACCAATCACCAAATACAGGCTGCAGAACGTGCTCAACATCCCAATAAATAGGAGAGCAAGGAACTTTTACATCCAACACCTGTGAGCCCATCAAACTCCAAAGTGAGGGTTCATTCCCTGGTTTGTTTACTCACTCTGGAAGCCATGAAACCAGCTTCTTCCTGTTGGTGGTAAACAACCAAAACTGAGCTAGTCACATGACTGGAGTGTACGAGTTGGAGGTCAAGGTCCAGAGTTTTTATTCCTACTACATACCATAGGAGCTGATGCAGTGATAGACCCAGTGATCATGAGTGTTTAATAAATACAAACACTTTTTTTAAAATAAATATCTTTCTCAAAGTTTTTCTATGAATAAATAATAATGATGGATACCATTTTTTAGTACTATTTTTGTGTTAGGCATGGTGCTAAGCATTTCACAAACATTTCCTCACTTATTCCTGCCAATATCTCTAGATATTGTTGTTGTAGTTAGATGCCAAAAAGTCTGTTTCAACTCATAGTGACCCCGTGTGACAGAGTAAAACTGCCCCATGGGGTTTTCTATGTTGTAATCTTTATGGGAGCAGATCCCAATAATTTCTCCCACGGAGCCTTTGGATGGGTTTGAACCACCAACCTTTCAGTTAGCACCCAAGAACTTAACTATTGCACCATTAGGTCTCCTATCTCTAGAGATAGATGCTATGGTTGCCATATTTTACAGCTGGAGAGACTGTGTCTCAGTGGGAAAGATGCCTCACTCAAGGTATTAGAAATATTCATTATCTGTGGCTGGGATTTGGACCCAAGTCTCTCTCATTGTAAAGATCATATTCGTAGTGCCTAAGGCACTTGACTGCTAACCAGAAGGCTGGAGGTTCAAACCCACCAGCCACTCCTCAGAAGGAAGACGGGACAATCTACTTCCGTAGTGATAATGCCTCAGAAACCCAAGGAGGGGTCGCTATGAGTCAGGTCCAACTCGACGGCACATACCAACCAACCAACCAACCTAAAGTTTGGTGGTTCAAACTAGAGATGCCTCAGAAGAAAGAGATCTGCTTCTGATGATGGCAGCCATGAAAATTCTATGGAGAACAGTTGTGCTCTGACATATATGTGGTCACCATGACTCTGAATCTCAACAGCAACTGGTTTTACCCCAAATTATCACAAGCGTTTTTTCCTCCAAAAAAAATATGTTGTTGTTGTTGTTGTTTTGCCGTCGAGTCGGCCCCGACTCATAGCGACCCCTCCTTGGGTTTCCGAGGCAGTATCACTACGGAAGTAGGATTGCCCAACCTTCCTTCCGAGGAGTGGCTGGTGGGTTTGAACCGCCAGCCTTCTGGTGAGCAGTCAAGTGCCTTAGGCACTATGCTACCAGAGCTCCTATAGGACCATATATATAGACTCTTTATTATGAGTTACTATGAATGCTATGTTTTAAATTGAGGTATCTGAGGTTGGGCAATTCTACTTCCATAGTGATACTGCCTCGGAAACCCAAGGAGGGGTCGCTATGAGTCAGGGCTGACTCGACGGCACATAACAACAACAACAACAACAACACTCTTGTAGCCTGGTGTTTTTGTTTTTGTTTTTGTTTTCATTATCCATCAAGACTGGGCAATCTACTTTCATAGAGACACTGCAGTCTTCATTATCCATATAATATGAAAATATTTTTGTGTTAACAAATATACTTCTAAAGCATCATCATTAATAACTTATGTTCCCTTTATGGATTTATTATGTATTACGAGAAGATTTTGTTATTCACAAAATAAATTTGGGGAATAGTATAATACAGAAAAAAAAAAAAAGCATGGGAAAAAAATGGTTAAGGATTACTTGACTAAGAACACATATTTTCACACAGAGCTGGGACAGCTTTGAAGGAAATAGCATTGGATATGACTTTACTGTTCATCTACTGTGAGAAAGAAGACAGTCATTTAGCCCCTCAGCAACTCAATTTGTTCATCTACAAATGAGATGACATCCACCTGGCAGATTCCACCATAGCCCTACTAGTTAGTAAAATATCAAGGTATTTCAATAGTGGTCAGTGTGAAATGTCCTCCTGTTACTCCAGATTGCCCTCAGGCAGTGTCTAGTATCCCCTAAACCAAAAAACAAACCAGTTGTTGAGTTGATTCCAACTCATGTCAACCCCATGTGATGCAGAGTAGAGCTATATATACTCCATAGGGTTTTCATGACTGACCTTTCAGAAGCATATTGGCAAGCCTTTCTTCTGAGTACCTCTGGTTGGGTTCAGACACCAATCTTTTGGTCAGTAGCTGAGTGTTCAACCATTTGCACTACCCAGAATTTAAGACTTAATGCTTGTAACCCCAGGTCTCAGGACCCTGCCCCAGCACTCTACCAGTTTCCATGTTGATTGGGCCATGTCTATGTGGGTAAATATTTTTATTCTCATGGTAGTTAAGTTTGTGTGTCAACTTGACTGGGCCTGGTTGAGTGGCTGGGCAGCTGGATGTAGTTATTCCCTATGGTGAGACTGGTAATTAACTCCTTGGTGGAAACAATTGGAGCAGCTGAGTAGCTGCTTTAGGGATGTGGGTCTGCTTCCCGTGTATAAGAAGCAACTTTGGGAATGGTCTCTAGCTTTTTGGCACACTTGAATCCTGCACACAGCCAAGTAATTGTTCAGCAGCCTCCCATGCCCTGCCGATCTTGGGACTTTTTCTGGACTTGAATTAGTGGCCTGCCATGTTGTTTTTATGATATCGGGACTGTGCCTTTTTACTTGTCAACCTTGAGTTTGTCAACCTCAGCAGCCAGCAGCTGCCTGAATGAAGAATAGCCTCTAGCTCCAGTGGGCCAGGAGCAAGAGGTAGAGCTGAAGCCCAAAGTCGAAGAGCTTTCACCCAGCCCCGAGAGCCTCATACTTTGAACTCAATCTACTACACTCCCAAACTGTAAGAAAATAAACTCCTGTTTGTTTAAGCCATCCCATTTGTGGTATCCTCTGTTAGAGTGGCCCTAGGTAACCAAAACAATTCTCATCCCTGAAACTAACCATATTAACTTCTAGGAGTGTAGGTGCTATGATAAATATACAAAGCAGGATTTGCAAAATGTGAAGATACTATGAAAAAGGTAGACATTGTTACTGCTGTTATTGTTTTAAAAAATATTCTTCTAGAGTGCCCACACAATCATGCTATACAACCAAATACCTCGGCATGCAAAACATTTTGCTCTGCTCATAGAACTATGTGTTGTTGTTGGATATCGCAGAGTCCATTTTCAACACATAGCAAACCCCTGTGACATAGCAGAACTGCCCTATAAGGTTTTCTAGGCTATAATCTTTATAGAAGCAGATCTCCAGGTCTTTCTCCCATGGAGACCCTGGGTGAGTTAGAAACACCAACCTTTCAATTAGCAGCCAAGCATATAACTGTTGTGCCACCAGGGCACCTTATAGAATAATATAAATCTATATAACAACCTATATAAATCTATTTAGATGCTACAGGTAAGCAGTTTCCTATGTAAAGTCCTCATGCATTCAATCAGGACCTCCTAGTTTGAGCAGAACTTCAATATGTTGATTTCCTTCCATGAAACACCCATGGAGATTTCAGTAATCATAAATCAAGCCACAGCTTCCTGGCCTTGTTTTCTCTCCCTCTCTTTAAGGGATCATGTGGCAGCTTCCATTTCCTATCGTTTTATGCATACTGGATTCCTATTTCACACTCTGGACTATCAGTTTCTGACATCAGAAGATAAAGATGGTGGTACTTTGGGAAGGTTCCATTTCTGCTGCCAGTGATGACCAAAGAGTTCAGTTACTAGGGAGCTTTTCCACATTTATAGCTGGGTATTTCAAGGAAAATCTCTCAATATGCTAAAAGAATCTGAGATCCCCTGTTCTAACCCCCTGCTTCTAAGTAGGTCAATATCTAAGACACCCCAGATAGTGCATTTATTTTTAATGTTCTTCAAGGATGGAGGGTCCCAAAGCACCTTTAGGTGTGTTTAAGTTTCAGTCACCCTGACAGCCAAGTTCTTCCTTGTGTCTAAGGAAACTCTCTGTGTGTAACTAAAGTTCACATTATCTGGTTACATCCAATTGCCCATGAGGAACACCCACTCTGACATTATAGAGGGCCAGGACAGAGCCAGGAATTTTTTGTTTCCTTCCACAGTGTCTGGTACAGTGACACATATAATTGAGCATTTGTAAATACTGTGGTGGTAGTGGCAACATGCTCAGAGAGAGTAATTCAGGTACCATTGAAATGGTCTGCATTTCTATGCAGAAATGGCCTGTTGGTTACTAGAAACTCAACAGGCTTTGGAGTCAGACAGACCTGAGTTCAAATTTTATTCAAATGTTGTTTGACAGCTGTGTGATATTTACAAGTTCTTTAACCTCTGTGAGCTTCCATCATTCCCATTTATATAACTTTCATAAAAGTGTTGTGAAGATGAAATTATATATTTATAAAGTGGGTGTTCAGTACATGTTACCTTCTTTTCCTTTCCCTTCCTTAAACTATAAATTTTATATACTTCAATCAATTTCAATTTCTTGAAATAACTCATTTGTTGCTAACCACTTTCTCTGTTTACCATATTAAGAAAAAATTTCCACATTTCTTTAATAGGAATCTGGTTACTATCCCAATGTGAGTTAATTATTTACTGAGTACTTACAATGTACCAGCAGGCACAATGCCAAGTGGGTTTTGTGTGTGTGTGTGTGTGTGTGTGTTTTCCCAACTCACTATCTTTTTTAATCACCACAACAACCCTCTTAAGTAGGTACTTTTATTATCATCATATTACAGATAATGACAAAGAAACTCAGAAAGGTTTAGTGACTTGGCCAAGCTCACACAGTAAGTAGGTAGGACTGGATATCAAGGGCCAGGTTTGTGAATATCAGAGCCCTTGCTTCTAATCATTATACCTAACTGCCTCATAGCCTCATAGCCAATAATTGAATGTGGCCTCATAGCCAATAATTAAACAAACCAAACCCATTGTTGTCAACTCACTTCCAACTCATGGCAACCTCATGTGTTACAGAGTAGAACCACTCCATTGAATTTTTTTGGTTGTAATCTTTCCAGAAGCAAATTGCCAGGTCTTTCTACTGTGGTGCTCCTGGGTAAGATCAAACCGCCAACTTTTAGGTTAGTAGTCTAGTACAACTGCACCACCCAGGGTCCTAGCCAGTATTTACCAGGGTTTATTTTACAATTAACAAGCCCTGGTGGGACAGTGGTTAAGCACTTTGGGCTGCTAACCAAAAGATCAGTAGTTCAAACACATCAGCCACTCGGCAAGAGAAAGATGCAACAGTCTATTTCCGTGAATATTTACAGCCTTGAAAACCCTATGATATAGTTCTACTCTGTCCTCTAGGGTCTCTCTAAATCAAAATCAACTTGATGACAATGGATATGGGTATTTTACAACTACAAGCCATTGCAAAATCATGACCTCCCAGCTCTTATTTGCATTGCTTTTCATAAATACCACATTGACAACCTTGTTTCACTGGGTGGAACTCCATGAATCCATCTTGGCTAAGTTTGGATAAGGTTGGCTAAGATTGGGACATGGCATTTGATCAGGCAACCAAGAAAGCAAATATTACTGGACCAACAGAAATCCAGTCCTCAACGTGGCCTCAAGAAAACTGTGTGTTGACCAACCGAGTCATGCTGCCAGAGTCACTTATCAGGTTTTATAGAAAAGCTTTGCTGATGGATGTTGAGCTATACATTTAACATAGATGCCAGATTTCACAACCATTTATGAAGGTCAGGCCATCCACTGTTATCTGCCATGGCCTGGTACAAGGCTTGTACGAACAACTTTATAAATTCTGAACTTATAAATAAGATACTGTTAAAAAGAAATAGTATGAATACAAGGCATAGGTAAGTACTTGGCACTCAATAAATGGTAGCTATTATTATTGTTACCATGATTATTATATCCTAAACTTGCTTTCTAAAAAGGAAACTGCCACAGGGCAAAAAGCTTGGAAAACCAGAAGACCCAAATTTTCATCTTAACTCTGCATTTAATGTCCCTGTAATATTGGGTAGGTGTCTTAACAGCTTACCACTGAAACTTCATCTGCAAAATAGAAATGACTGTACTTTTCCTTTCTCCTCAAGGTTGTGATGAAGACATTTGAGACAGTGTGTGAAAGCACTTAGTAATGCATTAGGCACTCCACTAAAAGGGGCAGTGGGATAATTAATTCCAGCCCCCTTAATATCAAAGAAAATCCTGGTATTATCTTCAATAAATATGTACATGCCCATAATTTTACATTTACCAATGCCAGCAAGGCCAACACATTTGTCTACAATAAATGTATTTTGTCTGTTCCCTTAGGAAACTAACAATAACAATGATTGAAGAGTAATTATCTGAATTTCACACTTTAAAGATGAGTATATATCCTGGTGTGCTGTTCATTAATAACCTACTATGTTATATAATTGTATTTAATTAAAAAAAAATAGACACTTGGAGCCTCACAAGGAATGTACATATACATATCTTCTATTGGTTTTTGAAAATCAGTGAATATTTTCCAGATTCTTCTAACTTAAAATAAAATCATGTATGGGCTTTTGATTATTCATGGTATTGTGGGGATTGGGGAGAGTATGTAATTGAAATTCACAGATAATATACTTGCTTCAATTTAACTATTAGTTCAAACTTCTTCCCCAAGTAACTTTTCCTCTAGATGATTTGTTTTTCATCATCTCTTCCCAGGACTCCAAGTAGCGTTTGTGTTAATAAGCAGGAGAAAGGCAAAATAAATAAACAAACAAACATATTTTAAAAGTAGGCAGCAGGAGGGAGATAGGAAATACCACAAGCTGGATAACCTGACACACAAAAAAAATGGGTGGAGTAAAATGAGCACTTTCAACCACTTAGCTCTTTCAGGAAACAAAATGACCTATTGCCACATAATTTTCTACAATAGCAATGTAGCAACTTGAAAGCTACTGCACCTTTGTTTACTTAATGAGAGAACCAGCCAAAGACCTGATGACAATTTATTACTTTGAATGGGAGTTGAGTACTATATATGCTCATGTTATTCTTGTCCTAAAAATATTAATCTAATACCAACTGTGCATTTGGTGCTCCTATAGCTCTGGTTGGTACCTGAGCATGAGTGAGATCCCCATGAGTCAGAATTGATTTAATGGCAATTGCTTCAGAAGAAAGGCCTGGTGATCTACTTCTGAAAATCAGACAATGAAAACACTATGGATCATAGTGGTCTGACCCCCAACAGAGTGTGGCCTGGGCAGCACTTCTTTCCATTGAGCATGGGGTCACCATATAAGTCAGAGGCCCATTTGATGGCAGCTAGCAACAACTAAACACATTTTAGAAAGCTCCATCCATAAAGCTTATATGCCATGCACAATACCAACCTTATGGTCATTCACCTTGTAATCGTTGAAGAGAGATGGGCTGCCTGCCAAAGTGTAGGCACTGCCCTCCCTGAACACACTGATCCTTTGAGCAGTCAGCTTAGGGGAGTACAGTTGGGGTTTGGGGGCTTCCCCAGACCCGTAAACACCATCCATTGGCTCGAGGGACTCTTGGAGAAAACTGTGAGGGTATTCCTCCTTTGGCGACTCTAATTCCTGCCCGTCCTCAAAGACTTGCTTCAACACTCGGCCACTGTAGGAGGAGGAGATTTTAAACCGCACTTTCCGGGGTTTACCATCACTCTTCTGGTTCACTTTCTTCTCAGGGTCCTCCATCAGCAGAAATTTCACCCTGTAGTTTCCAGGATTCAATACCCAGTGAAACTCAGGGATCTGAGAAAAAGGCATTTTATCTTCCCTCCTCATGCATATAATTAATTGGTTGGTGCTGGGGTAAGCTCAGTTTACAGCAACTGACACCCACAAATTAAATATTGATAAACCCTCATGAAAAGGCAGGCAATTGTGGGTTTATGGAGTAATGGAGTATAAGACAAGATTGGATCCCCTCTTAATCCCAGACTCACCCATATATTCACCCCAAACTTTACTTTTCTTAACCTGAGGATGAGTGAGTTTATTTAGACTAAACAAGTACAAATTCAATAAGTATTACATACTCAGCAAGTGTTTTGTGATTGTTATCAATAATAACTGTGGTTTATTGAGTATTTAATATGTGCCAGAGACTTTTACATGCATTATCTTACTTAGTCTTCCCACTAGCTCTACAAAGAAAGTACTATTATCTCCATTTTACATAGAGAGAAACTGAGGCTCAGAACAGTTTCTTTATTTGTATACTCTATGACAGCTAACTGACAGCAAGATCCACACCCAGGTCTGTCTGATTCCAAAACCCATGATAAGCCAAAGAATTTCAAACTTATTTCCTGGAGCCCTAGATTCTTGGGAGTTACTGCTTAGAGCAGGAGGCCGTCAAAGGTCTTGCGTTCCAAGCCTTCAGTTGTTGTTGTCACCATGTGGGCTCTGAGTCATGGTGACCTTATATTTAGCAGAATGAAACATTGTCCTGTACGGTGCCTCCTCACAATCATTCGTGTATTTGAGCCCATTGTTGCAGCCACTGTGCCAATCCCTCTCGTGGAGGGTTTCCCTCATTTTTGTAGACCCTCAACTTTACCAAAAAGGACATCCCTTTCTAGCAATTGATCTTTTCCTGATGACATGTCCAAAGGAAGCAAGACAAAGTCTTGCCATTTGTTCATTCTTCTGGCAGTCCATGATATATTCAATATTCTTCACTAACAGCACAGTTCAAATATGTCAATTCTATTCTCCTTCTGTCTTCTTTTTTCATTTTCTTGCTTTCACATGCATAAGAGGCAACTGAAAAGACCAGGCACACCTTAGTAATCAAAGTGACATCTAGGTCTTCTACCCATGTGTTAACCAGAGCAGCTCCACTTTATATCTAATTTATATTTAAGTTTCATTTGTAAGCAGCACTAGGACCCACTGTCTCGCTCCCCGCAACACACACACAATTGTCTTGCTGTACACAAGACCTAGTAAGTGCCCAACACTGTGAGATAGTTATTAGGATTAAGCATGAGATGTGGGGTGCAATAAAGATGGTCCTACAATCCAGTTTAGGAAACAGGGCGAACACATGTAAAATAATGACTATCACTAAATATTCCCACAATAGTTATTCTAGGATGAGCTCAGCCCCTTACGAGGCAATGATGGAAGAATGTGGCTTATTAAAGAAAGGAGTTTTGGATTGGGTCTGCAAGAATGGGGCAGGTTTGAAGAGGTGGAATGTAAAGGTATAGTCTTTCTCCCCATCTTTACTAATGGCAGCATCACTCAGTTGCCCAAAGTGATCTCTCCAATACTTCTACAGCCATTCATATTGGCTCTATCAATGCTGTCTTTTTTTTTTCCACAACATTTATTTTAATCTGTATGCTGAGCAAATATTATATATTTTTGTGTACTTTTTTTTTTTAGTATTATTGTGATTTGGGTGAAAATTTACAGAGCAAAATACACTTTCCATACAGCACTTCACATATACTTTGTCTCATGATGTTGACCACAATTTACCACAATACAACATCTACCCTCCTATTCCTCCCGATAGTTACCTCTTCCCTGTGTCCATCCCTCCATGGCACTCCTGCCCCCTGAGCTGTCTCCCTGTGCATAAGCAGCCCTTCTTTCTCCCATGCTTGTTCTCTCCAAGGAGTGTATCTGCATCAGGTAAATGTTCAACTCATATGCCTGTCTTTT